CCCGTATCCGACTTCCATTCAGAATAGTAATGATGATTCGTAGAAGGAAATGGAATGCGTCGATCATCACTCCGAAATTTGATTTCTAGACCCGTTGCTTGTGATAGTGGGCGCTACTTGTCATTGCACCAACTCCGCCGTTATTACTACTACTATTATTTACTTAGTTTTTAGCAACTTAAAGTGAAAGTAAAAGAAAAANAAATTTGATTTCTAGACCCGTTGCTTGTGATAGTGGGCGCTACTTGTCATTGCACCAACTCCGCCGTTATTATTACTACTATTATTTACTTAGTTCTTAGCAACTTAAAGTGAAAGTAAAAGAAAAAAACAACAATAACGGTAAAAACTGGATATTCTGAAGAAAACGATGCCAAGCTATAGCCGTTACGTCATTATAGCCGGTTAAAGTGGTTAATGACCTGATCGGAGAAAGAATACTATAAGATCTCTTTCCCTACTCCGCGAGCTCGGGAAGACGACGCCTCCTGCCTGAAGCTACTGAATGATCAGCTTAGAAAGCAGACCAATAATCTTTTCGTATTATCACGGTCACTAAGGAAAAATTTGCAAAATGGACAGGCCATCAAAGAAACCCCTTCTCACTCTCATCCCTACGAACAGACCATATGGTCTGAATGTCACATTTGGAGATGATTGTCTCAATGAATCTGTGAGAAAGAGAAGGATCAAACATGATATACATAAGAACTTGGTCAGTTAAAGCCAAAGGAGCAGAAAAACCAAATCATTTTTTAAAGTAGAGTACACTAGCAACGTTACTGGTTTCACAAAACCCACCTTGAAATCTGTTTTTTAAGTATCAAACGTGTTAGCCTCTTTATAGGACTACGATAGACAAAACCCGTGACCAATCAAAACACTCCCGTCATATAACTTACATCCCCATTGAAGCAAAAAATTATAAATAATGAATCTGGCATTCCTAATTGAGGCGGCTAAGCCACAGCCCCAGCTCAGCTTTCATCCCTACTCCTTCCTTTCTCGTCGACGTATTACTAATTTTATACTAGATGTCCGAAAAAAGCTCACCGGCTTTTCATCATCATATGGTCCTGAGATATGATCCGGAATTGAAGACGACGCTTCAATATTACGAGCAACCACTGTGGATAACACGCGACGAGCTGCACAACGGATCATGTAGTACACCCGCTCAACAGTACCTAAGAAGTTCCTAGTTGAATAAACAAAAACAATTCGTACAAATTCAAATTTAAGTTGAAATTCTTAAAGGAGAACACGAAACTTTGTTACGGGAGTCTCGCACAGAAAACTAGCCGTTGAAAATGCTTGCTCGCCCCTCCTCTTTTCGCGATGAAGTCGCGAAACCTTTTGAGTCATCGTGAAGCAGAAGTAGAGCGCCGTGAAACTTATGATCCACTTTCTCCAGAGAGTCTGAGCTTATAGCTGCCGTCAGTCAAGCCCGATTCAGTCATTTTCACTCATGCACGTTGTTTAGCTGATGCCAGGATTGTTGTGAATCCACGCCGCGAAATTCTTTTGGACGAGTTGTCTCTCTATTTTAGCTATGCAACTTATTTATTTTAGAAATGTCCTAAATTATTCCACAAATTTTTATTTAAATACCATTGAGCGATCGTTCTAGCCCAAAAAAAAACTCTGTAGAAAAGCGCTGTCGGATCATTCGGAGTTTTGTGGAGTGGTAGTGCAAGCTCTTGTTAGTTTTTATTTGTGAAAAGCTCGAATATGTCTTACAAGCTCTTCGTTCCTTCCTCTTGGTTCCTTGTGTTGTTGTTATTTCAAGAAACCAATTCTCTATTTGTTACATATATGACACTCTTTATATTGCTACTCGGTTATATTACTTTCTGTCTCAGAGACTGGAGGGCCATTGCTTCGTAGTCCCTTTTTGTAGCATTACTCACAAATTTTGTTGCTAAAATCGTCTTAGTCCTTTCTAATTTTTACTTAAAATGAGCTCGATTAGAAATGTATGTGAAGATGGGGATGGGGGACGTCACCACTATCCTCCACCTCAAAGAGCAAAGCCTAAATTCACAATCGTAAACATATTTCGTCGTAATATTCTCGTACCGAGCTTCGTAGAGAACTGAATAATATCCTTTAGGTACAATGCGTTACGTTTCTGCGTATATGCTAGCAGTCGCTGGTGGAAACCCGTCTCCGAAGGTATCAAGTCTTCTCCGTTTAAAACCGAAATCTTTAAAATCTGACAAGAATGAACTTGTTTAGTTAGAAGATATAAAAAATATCCTCGGTGCCGTTGGAGTCGATACCGATGCTGAAGCTGCCAAGCTCGTCATCTCACGGCTACAAGGAAAGAATATCGAAGAAGTAATCGCTGAAGGTTCCGCTGGTCTGGTCTCGGTAAGCTGTGCTTTCTTCACTGTTTTAGTTGTTAGAGTTTGTTGGCTTAGTGCTCTTGATGACCTTCCGTGATTTGATATCTACATGGGTTAACATTTAGCTGCCATTATCTCAGCGTGAAACATCCTCGTGCAGAAGTCTAAAAAAGTCAGAAAATAATGAAATGAGTGAATGTTTCTTTCTGAACACAATTTTTACACTTCCCCTCTCTTGTTATGCGTAACTGAGCCGCTCGTAAAATAGAATAGATTCAGGAATAGCAAAACGCAGGCGATCATCATCCCCTTTCTTGCACCTTTTTTCTTCTTCGTAGCGGCGATGCGTTATTTTATCCATGCTCCACTTTGCTTTCAAGTATTCCAGTGAGCGGTTTTTTAATGCTTATTTTTCACTGGCACAGTATCACAGCTTCACAACTGTTTTATGATTCTTCAGTAAGTATCATGCGACCCATGGGTTCCGAAAAATGAGCGTTTTAATTGTAATAGCGTACTCGCTTTTCAGTGCTAGGAGAATGTAACATCTATTGCATAGTTGAAGTACAGTGTCTGGGTTGTTTTTTACTCGTATGGTCCTCTTCATACTCTTTATATACGGGGCCAAGGCTTCACACGCTCTACATACATATGTACGATTTCCTGTATGGACCTGAGCAATATCACTGGGGTGAACGCTCAGCTTATTGAATACTCACGCATAGTAGAAGGATATCAGTTATTCTCGAGTCTTTGCGCTTACCATTACATCTACCCAACATTCGGATTTTCCTATCACTCCATATCCACAAGAAGTGATAGGAAAGTCGGATATCCCTATTTATGGTATTTCGTGCTCGTTAGAAATCGGTATCATAGGCTTCATAATGGGCTTCTTTCGAACCTGTGCTGAGTGTAAATTCTTTTCTTCGACCTAACTTTCTTTCAATGTTCAACTGATTTTTTTGCTAGATGTCAGCTGCTGTAGGCGCATTCAAAGGGTAGATGAGGCTTTCAAGTTTTTCTTTTTAATCGCTTTGCATTTAAATCACGTTGATGGAAAAGACTCACCTTTATATTGATACGTATTAACAAAACCCTGTTCGGAGAGAGTGCGCGTGGGGCTCGAGCTGAAAAGCGCTTTTCAATTTCTGTGGGTATCGTTTATGCATTTGGAGTTTTATCATTTTGGCACGCCCATTAGAAATACTAAAGTGCTGCGCAACGGTGTTGCCTAGGTCGATGACCTGTTGAAGCCTATAGAGCCAGTGCTTCAGCTTCGAATCGAGATGTGTTCCTACCTTTTTCATTCCAATCTCATTCCAACTATTAATTTCGTGTGAAATACATCTATGTTAGTGGCTCAACATACATTAGTTTTTCTTTCGATCCACTCCTTACCTTCCGTCCACTGATCGCTTGTGTTTGCCCACCACTTTTTTCTTTTCTCATCAGTTGGTGTAAGCTAACTACTGTTACATGCAAACTTTTCTTTCGAGCTTATAATTTACCATCTTACTGGCAGGAAGTGTCCTGAAAGTAAACGTAAAGAGTGGCTTTTCACCAAGGGGAAGTTTTGATGGGTTTATTTCTCAATGAACACTTCTCAAATGCTCACATGCGGTATGGTAGAATTTGCAGCCAGGAGGAGGGCCTAGTTGAGCTTATACGAGTGGCAAGCGAGTGCGAGCTGTTTCTCTTCGAAAGTTGGAATTTAAAAATTATGTTGAAAACGTGCCTAGGTGGAGGCACCGCTTCTATGCAACACTGAGCGCTAAATACAGAGGAGGAGGGCTAGCCGACCTAACTTAGCCAAGGGAATTTAGTTCTCGCCTAGCTTTAGGAGGGAGGAGCACCGGGATGGGTGAGATAATTATGTATTGCAAAAAATGCTGGGTTTGGGTAAGCGTTGGTCACTCACTTGGCTCACCCGCATCGGTACTCCTCCTCTGCGTTCTAGCGCTCAGTGTTGGAAAATATCGGGTGTCCCCTTCCCCAGCAACATTTTCACCAAAATTATGTTTTACATGTCGCCTTTACGTCTCGTTGAATTGATATGGCAGAATGGCAAATATTTCGTGCAAACCACTTTTTATCACTGAGTTCTCCCAGTCAGCATAAGGTTAGCGTCTGATATTAAATAGACAACAATTATGCTTTTTTCAGGTTAGCGGAGGAGCTCCAGCTGCTGCTGCTCCGGCTGCTGGAGGTGCTGCACCAGCTGCGGCTGCTCCTAAAGAGGAGGCAAAGCCAGCGAAGAAAGAAGAGAAGGAGGAATCTGATGATGATATGGGATTTGGCCTTTTCGACTAATTTTGTTATTAGAAATAAATTGTTGTTTTTTGAATAAGACTTTTTTCCTGACTTGATGTAATGTCTATACTTGTGAGGAATTTTCACTCAAACTGCAAGTATTAGTTGTAGGGATCGTAAATCCCTCATTATTTAACACAGATGCAGGCTGTTTATGAAGTCATGTCCAGTCCATTGGGTGAGGTTGGTGGTCTATTCCATTAATTTTTTGTCGACAGCTCAAGCTGTCGTTTCATGTAACGGAAAGCCTTCTTGATGCAGAGACTGAGCAGAGACTCTTACTATTGAAGTAAAATTCTGAGGAAGCTTTCCGACGCCCTGTATACGTTATCGATGGTCGCTGGAGCGTATTTCAGTACAACATTAATATACAAGACGCGATAATCCCAATCTCTCGAGTGGAAAGACTGGGAAGAGTACAGCACAAACGACTTTCTCGGCGATACCGCCGAAACGTTAGTATTAGTAAAAACCTCGTGAGGGTTAAAAACTACATCAAGTACAAGCAGTGAACTGTCAATACTTACGCGCCTGTTTCGGATATTTGAAGGAAGTTGGTGATGAACTACCTGGGGGGTCAGGGTTCTCTATTTGTTTCTACTTGAATCATCGAAAGCTGGTAAGCTTTTTGGTGTTATTTTGTAACCGAGAATGATTAGTCTTCGAAGAATACACTTTTGGCTTAGTCGTTCTGCGCAAGCAGGGTTGACGGAAATGAGCCCAGTAGGGGAGCGTTAAGCATAGGCAGGCTTCGAGGAAAGTTAACATAGAGTTGTAGCTCGCATGGGAATACAGAACGAGACATGTAATATTCAGGCAACTGCCACATCATCACACACACATCTCAATGTACGTGACTGTTAGACGTTGCTGTGTAACAGATGATTGAATGAAGCTTGAACATAAACATATTCTGATTTCCAAGTGCACACCATCACGCTCTTCGATTTTGCTGTTCATTGATAGGAGCGGAGCGCTCATTGATACATCACAATTTTCCAGGTTCTGGTGGCTGAAATTGACGGCGAGCTAGCTGCACTTTTCTTTGTTTCGAAGGAAACAATTCCTCGCAGGTTGGAGAAGCTGTCCAGATACTATCCATTCTTGAAGTTTGCTGAAGGTCACATTCATAATGCGAAAAATGTGGGTTTTACGTACTGTTTTTAATTGAAAAGAGCAGAAGCAGGTAATTGTGATGTGGATATGGACCTGGGAAAGCGAATACGAGTAGAGTTTGGGCTGGGTAACTTTGCACAGACCGTCCTCAAATCCAATCCATCCTTCTACGGTAGATGGGCGTAGTTCTAGAGCAGATTTCCG